GGAGGCTGGCATGGCTTGTGTATTGGCTCCTCCCAGACATAACTGTAGGAAATGGTCACAGATCTGAACGTTAGGTGTGCATTTATTAGGGTTGAGTAGGCAATAGTTAGCTAGATTTTCTGCTTTAAACCTCCCTCTGATGAACAAAATAAATACAGTTCACAATTTTATTTCTTTGTCCTTTTTCTAGTAATTGAAGGATTAATTACTAAAATCTATGCTTACAATAAATGTTTAGGAAAACAGAATATCTGAGAGAGAAACATATTTCCTTTATTAATATGGTTTGATTTATGGATTTGTAAACTTACCACTTCAGCATGAATGCATAAAGCAGAAAAACTACTTTAAAATTAAGTTGACAGTGCTTTAGGGTGAATTACGGATACTGGTTTTGGCTGCTGACAGTAACTTCCTTCGGGATATTCTTCTGGCTGAGAAACTGTAAACAAGAAATCTCTCAGCAACAGAAATAATTGAAATGAAGACAAACAACTGAAAGAATTAGATCATCTGCAATAATAATCATTTTTGATGCTGACTTTGGATCCTTTGGGTCTAAAATAAGTTTATTTTTTAGAATTGTATTCTTTATTTCATAATCTGTATTTTTCAAAACACTTATCCATGGTGAATGTATCCATGTGTCTGCTCTCCAAGAATCACTGTCTATCACAAGAAAAACAAAACTTTCTGAATCACCATAAAACTCTTCAATTTATTTAAAGTAAAAGCTGCAAAGAGGGAATCTCAGTGTTCCATTCTACATACCATATAAATGTAGCTTTCTCTGGTACGTTTTTCCACAACTCCATATAGTGCTAACTTGTTAAACATTGTACCACTATATATATTATTAACTGGAGCCTAGGTCTACATGGAGCTCTTTGCATCTTTTGGACCATTAACATTTACATTTAGCTGGTGCTAAAGCACAGGCACCACCAATGGAAGGATTAGTGAGCCAGATGCATCAGCCAGACACTCGTTTCTAGCTTGGAGTGGCCACAGTTGACTGCAGTTAACATCTGACCACCGGATGTGTGTTTCTTCATGTGAAAGTCAGACACTGAAAAGTTATTAAGGGCATTTTCCAACAAAAGTGCTTTGCAGGGTGTATGATATTCCTTTCAGCAGTGGTGATGCAGATGATGATGTATCTTGTGCAAGCAGTTACTGAACATGCAAAATGGGAAGTGGATGCAAAAAATCTTCATATTATTAAATAAGGAATCATATCTAAAGTAATTAAGAGATTAATATACCATTAATAGTAAGCAAATGTTGTCAGTTAATATCAGATGTACTTACATATCTTTGCCATCATCAGAGTGCTTTAAAAACCTTCTCACACACAGTATGTCTCTGCAATAGGAAAACAAGGCTTTGTTCATATGAAGACAAAGGACTTGACCAAAGAATATCAGCAAGTCAGTAAACTCAAAATTACACCATCAATAAAATCATAATGGAAATCTCTCTCAAGAGTTGCATTTTCACATTTAGGCTGCAGGATTTTATTGGGCATAGAGTTGAAAATTATGACACAAGTGGCTGACCCTTCCAGCTTCAGGCTTGCCCTGCAGCCTGCGTAAAGGATGTGGAAATGGTCTCACAGTTATCACGCCTGAGCTCTCCTAAAAATTGAAAGATGTTTCCAAAGAAACAAGTCAGTGATGATCCAGGCATTAATACCTGCATGTGTTTGCCTTGTCACGGTATTATCATTACACAGTCTTCAGACAACCTCTGACTTTACAAAACTCAGTGTTGGTGTTGCTATCATAAAGTTTCTTACTTTAAGGCTTGCAAAGAAACTATTTCAGAGAGCAAAGAATAGAAGACTTGAAAGAAAGAAGCAAACATTTTGTTAAAATCATTCAGGGGAAAATAAAAGACTTCAAGGATTTTGAAAAAGGCACAGTCCTTCTTTATGACTGTGGAGCTTAAAGGAACTTCTACTAAACTCCATGACAGCTGCATTTGAACATAAGCTATGGAAACTCAAAAAATCTGAGGCAAGGAGATGCCCCTTACTTTAGAAAGCTATACATTTTAGACATATTTTCTATATCTCTGTATTTTGTGCTGTCACTGACATAGGTGAAGCAAAGATGGTAGCAATTGTACCTCTCACTTTGAACTGAAAAACTGCACAAGATACAGAGACACCGAAAATCACCCCTTGATTTCCGGAGAATTAAATTGCATCTGCAAACTCTGTCAAGTTCCACTTGGAGCAAGCTCTGGTGTCTAGTGCATTTCTGCCACTGGTTATTCTTTATTAAACTTTCTGTTTCTTCAGGAAAGACAGACTTGAAAGAAGGAGACACTCCTGAAATGCTTAGTTACTTTTATATTGTGAATTTTACTGATGACATGAAGGAGTGACAGAATCTTTTAGTTAACCTAATTCAAAAGAGAAGGGGGAGAAAAATTATATAAAAAGGATTTATATTGCTTTTTTCAACTGAACTGTTTTCAGTATAATGTCACGCTTTTAGTGTGGGGGATTCTGCATATGTCGTGATTCTACAGATGTTCCTGCACACTACATGCAGCTGCACTATTTGTCATGGGCAAATTTAATAGCAAGATGCTTGCTATGTGTTCCCTCTATTCTTAGCCCACCAAAAAAATAAGTAAAAAATGAGGGGAAGAAAAAGCCCTATCACTGCCTGATGGTTTGCTTCCTGCCCTCCTTTATACAGCCTTTTGAAACAGTTAAAAACAAATTTTGGAGACACCATCTTCTGTACTAAATTCTGACACCTGCAGTCGCAGCTCTATTCCCTTTGCTAGGATGATTTGGCAATTTTCTACTGTTTATAACGGTAAGTAAATAATTGTAAGTACCTGAAGAGGTCACATTCCTAACAGTGAAGGTTCTTTGAGTTTGATCCTTCGGAAGAGAGAACACTTTCTGCTAAATTCCAAGTCTCCTTTGCTGTCATAGACAGCAGAGGAACCACAGGAGCACTCCATACCTGGATACGGCAGAGCCACATGCTGTCAGAAGTTTTGCAGAGGCAACCTCAGAAGAGCTCTGTTACTCCACTGATTTTCTAATACTGCATCTTCTTTAAAAGTATTTTCCTTACTAAATTTTGTTGGTAAAAGGCCAGCGTATTATTCAGCTCATCAGAGGGGACCATACCCTTGGGTTCCACCTTCCTGCAGGTGTATTCAGCAAGCAGAACAAGACTTTTCCAAATTAAATGGAAAAAAAGAAATGATTTTTTTAACTTGAAAAGCCTATAATGTGCTGAAACATAGGCTGTTTGGTAAGTGGTAACAGAGGGAACTGAGGAACTGGCAGTGCAAGGAGAAATTTGGACTTCAGAGGAAGGAGATTGAAAGCTGAAGTAGGAGCACATCCAACTAAACTGAACAGGATAAAACTCAAGAAGAGGGTACAGCTGTAAAACCAGTTAAAAGTGTTACACCTCCAGTAAGTATATGAACAAGAATAGGTGCTATAAATGAAAAGTATGAGTCTAATTATTTTATCTCCTGTAGTACAAGAAAGACATTAACCTACTGGCTCTCATCCAGTGGAGGCTGGAGCAGGTAGCATGCGAAGAGAGGCTGTGGTTCTTCAGCCCTGAAAAGGCCAGGAGGGCAGGGGGATTTACTGCTTCCTGAAAGTACAGCCAGGTTGTCCTCAGACGTGCAAAGGGCAGGAAAGAGGCAACCAGCAGAAGTCAGAGAATGGGCAATTCTGACCAGGGATTTGGAAAAAATGGTCAAATACTGGCAGAGGGGCCCTGGGAGGTTCTGGCACTCTCACAGTGAGGTTCTGCACATCTGTCATTGAGAGTGACCATGCTTAACAGATCACCAAGATATGAATGTCTATCACTGTAACATGAAAATATACATATGCTACAAATATGGTTGAAAATTTGAGTGCTTATGAAACATAGAAGAAAAGATGGATCAAAAAGTTGCACATTTTTTTGCCAAGAGAAATATTTTTGATAAATATTTTTAAATAAGATTTTTAATAATATTTAAAAAATATTAGTTTGTGTAATATTGTGTTGGAGGTATTTTAAACCATGTTGGATTTAGCACATTTCCAAACACTGCATGTATGTAGGATATGTAGTCATGTACCAAGCTGATGAAAAAGTTCTTTTTGCTACCAAGAAGCTGATAATTTTGGAAATGTATAACAAGTGTTTCTGATATTCTAGATGTGCATCTGTGAACACAGACTGTCCAAGAAAATGGAATATACCAGTGAGTCTTTTCAGAGCAATGCCAGGAAATGGCACTGAAATATGCAATAGATACGGGAAGATACTAGTTTCCAGTCTTCAGACAACAGTTTAGCTCAAAAGTTAACCAGCTGTGATTATGATATTTCTCCTTCTATTTCTAATCAGTCTCTAAATCATATATACATGCGATCCAATCGTATGTGTACAGACCCAATTCCAGAAACTGTTGTGTATTACCTCTTGTAAAACCTGTCTGACACTGTTCCTCTGTGTGTGTGATGTATCTTAGATTCAATCGTGTGACCTTAATTATCTTATATCCTTATAGGTTACACTATGGTCTCCTGCATCTCTACAACCTGTAGCTCTCATTTTAATGACTGCAGTATTCCTGCTGATTGTGCAAATTATATCAGTGATGAAAATCAAACGTTTTTTCTTACCTGGTCTCCTGATAGCAATGAAGAAATACAGGTCAGTGAGACCTATATATATTATCCTGATTCAACAGAAGATAGGAAAGTGTGAATGCAAACAGTATCTGCTGCTCAGTCATGATTCTGCAGTCATAGAAAAGTTTGCAAATCCTTGCTGAACTCGGCAATTCACAGCATAGCCAAAGGGACTTGACATAACGCACGCCCAGTAAGTGTGATTTTGCCATTATTAGTTAAAAGCAACAAGGTTTGTACTGACAGTGCAGTGTCCCATCAATTCCGTGGGTTTGTTTGTGCCTAAATATGTTTTAACTTTTTTTAACTGTGGCTTGTCCAGCTCTAAGACATTCTTGACTAGATTTTTTAGTTTAACTCTAGTCTATAGTAACAACAAATGATTACTCATTGTGGACTGCTAGAATAAGTCACAGGGAAGAGTGCAGACACAGATGACACGAATCAGTCATTTAATCACAGTAAACTGATAGTGTTAAGAAAAGATATAAAACTAAATCCAAGCAGACACCAGACTGAGGAGAAAGACATCCCCTCCCATGAGTATTGCACTCTTCGTGGTGATGACTCATCATAATACTCCCCCAGACCTTTTGAGAAATACCAAAGTGTCAATCAAAGACCCAAAAGACTGAAAGAGTAAGCACAACACTAGAGAATAGGGAAATTTCTGTGTTGCAATTTTAACTCTATTTTTAATGAGGCCTTCCTGTATTCATTTTTCCATTATTACTAAAAAGCAACAAGGTTTGTACTGATGGTGTAGGGTCTGTAATTTTGACTATTAGGCTGTTTGAAACATTAACCGGACTAACAGTAAATTCATAGATCACAAAAGGCACAATGTGCCTTTTGTCAATACCCTTTTGCCAATAAGAAGACTTTGAGTATAATACTACATCTTAACATCACAAATATCTTTAAGGACCTGGAAGCTGAAATAAACACGATAAAGATCACTGAAGCTCGCAAGCACTGTTGGCCAGTTACAGTCTGTGCTGCTGTGCTCTATTTTCTCATGGACAAGCAGAATAAAATCAATCAATCCAGCTCTCACTCAAGGTTACTGCTCAGGAAGAGGTCAGCGTGTTTGTGTGCTGCTGTTTTAATCTAGTGCTACCACTGGCTTACAACTTTCTTTCCCTCCTGTCTCAGGCCTTTACTGTTGTACTTCACAGGGCAGTGCAGCGAGCAAAACCCTCTGACAACATGAGGCTGAGTGTAAAGAACACGACTCTCTGCATTACACCCTCAAATATCATTTACATCCATCTGTTTGAGAGAGAAAAGCTTTCTTTCACAGCACAGTTCTCTCTCCCGGTACAGCATGAACCCTGCACAAGCTTCCATTTATGACTCTGTGTGTACACCTGTGCCTGCAGCATGCAGCTCACAGAAGTCTTTTGCCTAATGATTTTCAGGCCTCTCTTGCATGCCTTCCTGCTTCACCACAGTAGGAGGGAATATGGACATGATTGTGTACTTCTGCTTGGGTCTCCTTGCTGTAGCTCAAGCTGTTCATGCTGCTAACAGGCTGTGCTGGGCCCCCGGAAACTTCCTCCTGAGGCAATGAGTATCAGTCTGAAACTCTTCCTACAAACTGAGCTTGCTCTCAGCCAGCCCAGGCTGCTTTCTCATCAAGTACAGAAAAGCACAACTTCACAGACACTGCTGTGGCTGGAGGACACCTCTGCAGGGACAGCCGATTTTCTCACTCTCCACTATCCATCCTCATCTCAAACACCAGGAACCACATCTACTTTTAAAGCAGCTCTTCATGTCCCAAGTGCTGCTGTGCATGTATATCTTCCTCCTAGAAGGGGCTGAATGGAAAGAGTATTGTGTAATGATCTCTCATTTAGCTAAACGTGTCATCTTTGCCTTCACTGCATTTTGTCTGAGAAGTATGCTGAGTCTTGTGCAGCTGTGTTCTTGCTCTTATTAGGCACAGACCACTTCTAAGATTTGCACCCAATACCAAGAGTTTCCTTCTTCCCTTTGAAAAGAGTGGTAGATGGTCACAGAGCAGATGAGCCCAAAGCCTGCACAGATGTGAGTCAGAACTAGGATGAAAATACTAACCCAGTAAAAGAGGCTTATCTTTGGCTTCCAGTGCATGTGATGTGAGCTGGAAAGCGAAATCCCAAATGGAGAAGGGAAAGGGAGGACAAAGAAATTCAGATTCAGTTACTGACCTTACTTGTTTTCAGAGCACAGAGTATCTGTGTACTGAGTACTGAACCATAAATCAACCAACCAGTGAATTCCTGCAGTCTCCTTGAGGTCACCTGGAACTCACGTGCAAGCATCTCGCACGAGGATATGCACAATGGCTGACTTCAGCAAGGTGCCGAGCACCTTCTGCTCTGCGTGAGGTTGGGATGCTCAAAACGCTCACCGTCACACGTGGCCGGGTCTTGCCTTTATTTGATACATTCCTGATTAAGCTGTGTAAACAAATTACAGTCCTGACACAGAAAAAAACTCACTATATTTATTACTACAAATCAACTGGAGTTAAACCAATTGCCATTGTCAGACAAGCCAACCTTTATAACAGATCTAGCATTAAATCATGGATGTCTATAGGGAGTTCCCTTGGATCATTTGATCAAATTATGCTCTTAAAAGTACACTTCAAAAGTGTCATCCTGGTGTAGGAGGAAAAGAAAGAAAATAAGGCAATGAAATTAATGGCAATTTGGAGAAATGAAATGTTGTCTCATGTATTTTGACAATGTAGACAACAGTAGGTTTGCCAGACAGATCAGCTTCAGACTCCAGATACAGCGCATGCAATATCTGACTTGCGCAAAATAAACTAGTCTAAAGCACAAGCTACCTGCTAGCCATTTGCTTGGCGTTGCCCTCTTGAACCATTTTACAAGTTTATTTGCACCATTACAGCTCTGGCCACATTTCTCCCAAGCTTGAGGTCCTTCCCCAGTCCTTGGGAAGAAAGCTGGCATCTGACAGGGTCAGTTTCTGGACATAGAAGTGCCTAAGTAGCAAGGTGGGCAGGCAGCAGCAGCAAAGGGGGAAAGGATAAGAAGATGGAGAAATGAGAGACTGCTAAAATAATCAGGTAGAGAAAACAAGAAAGAACACTGAAATTCCTGAAGGGCTGGGACAGAGAAATCCCACTGCACCTACTGCACCATGTTTTGCAACAGCACTTTGTAGGCATCTTTCCTTTGCTGACATCTGCTGCTGCACTCAATTGCTTTCAACAGTAAGACATCAGTCAAAACTGGGCATAACTGAGGGACCCATGGTGTCGCCAGCACCTGCAGCAAGTTAGGAACAAAAGGTGATCTTCTTGAGTTTTGGATCTTTGTTGTGGTTTAACTGGCAAATTAGCACCACAGAGCCACTCCCTCACTCCCCCAGAAGGATGGGGGAATAGAGTTGGAATGGGTTGAGATAAGAACAGTATAACAATAACAGTAACAGTAACAATAATAACACATAGTGAAAAGGAAAATAACATATAGTGCAATTTTATTCCTAAACAGTAATATCATTTTATTCCTAAAAACTGAATTCCTGTGCAGATCCTTTGACCTTACTTTGGTTGACAGTAAAACCAGCTTTCAAAAGAATCTGGATTGCTCTTCTCCCTGTCTCAAAAAATTCCTCCACTGTGTGGCTGCCTTTGACTCCAGTTCATATTGGAGTTCCACCACATCTGGTAAGGCAGCACTCAGCAGCAGCATAACTTTGTTCAAGCCTCAACAGACCACTGTTAGCCTCCACCCTTCATTAGATTTTTACACTGGCCAAATGGGACTGTTAAAGGTGAATGAGTATTACCAGTCAGTCCTTGACTCTCCAGTTGATGGATCAACACATGGATGGGAACCAGTAAGTCTTGACTGTTGCAATACTGTCACTGGTGCACTGCCATGGTAGCAACTGGCTATTTCAACTATATGAGGATGTTCAAGATATTGAGAAGCTATTTTAACAAGAGAGAAAACATCATGGAAGAAGGTAGTGAAGGTGCTATTTTGTACTTCCTTGACAAAAAAACTGAGAGGAAGAAGTACAATTGTTAATTGTCTCCATAAGATGTACAGTAATGGCTTCAGAACAGAACCCATATACCAGATCAAGCTCAAGGTCATTGCTTTAGTAACAAATTTCCCAGGCAAAACATCACTAATCACTACAGAGCACAGCAAACTGCAAAAGCCAACACCAATCTTTAACAGGTACAGCAAAAAAAAACAAAAAAAAAATCAAGTAAACTAATATTGAGAACACATGAATCAATATCATGACCTGCAACAGTTAACAGAGGAAATATAAATCCCTTATAATACACTCTGATCAATCTGTTATTACCTCAAAGCCTTCAAGCCCCACAATGGGTGCCAAAAAGATTGTCATAGCTCAACCGCAGCTGGCAACTGAGCACTGCACAGCTTCTTGCTCACTCCCTCCTCAGCAGGATGAGGGGAAGAGAATTGCAAGGTAAAAAGTGAGAGAACTCACGGGTTAAGATAAGAACATTTTAATAACTGGAAGATAATAGTAAAAGTAAAAATAACTGGATTAATAATAATAATGATAATGAAAATAGTAATACTGTAATGAAAAGGAACGTTAAAAAAAATAGAGAGGGAAATAAAACCCAAGAAAGACAAATGATGCAAATGAAAACAATTGCTCACCACCAACCGACCAATGCCCAGCCAGTTCCTGAGCAGTGCCCCCTGGCCAACTTCCTCCCTAGTTTATATCCTGAGTGAGACATCATATGGTATGGAATATCCCTTCAGTCATTTGAGGCCAACTGCTCTGTCTGTGTCTCCTCCCAAACTCTTGTGCACCCGCAGCCTATTGACTGACAGGGCAGTGTAAGAAGCAGAAAAGGCCTTGATTCCCTGTAAGCATTGCTCAGCAATAGGGAAAGCATCCCTGAATTATCAACACTGTTTTCACCAGCAATCCATAGTCCAATACCAGCTACTGCAAAGAAAATTAACTGTACCCCAACCAAAACCAGCACAACCTTAAACTGAGTTTGCTGGACTGGAAAGTGTTAGGTAATTTTGGTGGTGTTGGGCTTTTTATTTGTGAATACAACAGATTTGACTGTGAAGCATAAGGGGCATTTTTACAGATTCTTTAGAAACATGCTCATACTTTAATACTGACTGTCCAGCCTCACACAATATGCTGTGACTTGATTTTGCATTCATAAAACATTACAGCACCAACTGATACAGATTGGTGTACTGAATTCAGGTTGAAGAATCTAACCATCCATCCTCTCATTTGATTTTCCTAAAAGCACCTAAATATCCTTACTCTGGTCATGTTCCACACCTTGACCATATGGTCCTCTACCAGAGAAGAGAGTAATTCTAGGCAATTAAGGCACTTGCCCATATCCATTTCATCTGCAAATCTTTGGAGGTGCAAACAAAACACTGGATGGGGAAGACTTGCTTAATGCTGATAGTGCTTTAGATCACTTGATAATCTTTTTCCTGTGTTAGTTATTACTGAATGGAAATCAAATGCATGCATGTTAGGACTAGGAACAGATGGCACTTCTGTTCTGTGAGGAAGAAATAGGGGCAAAGGGGCAGCAAAGTTGAACCTCCCCCCTTCCCTGTCTTACCAGGATCCATTGTGTTGCCCTCCTGTTACAGTTGGCTGTGACTCTTTCTTGTTATAAAGAGATGTCAGAAGTTAGAGAGAGACAGACAATAACCTCAAATCCTTTACTGCATTTTACCAGGATTCTGAAAAAATAAAATAAAAAAATAAAAGCCAGCTGAGGGAGCTGGAAAATGTCAGTGAGGCATTACACAAAGAACTTGATACATTTGTTGACCTTTCTTCTTCCTCCACCCTTCTCCTCTAAGGCGGATTTAGTAGTAGTGGGTGCTTAGTGCTATAAGTGCTTTCTTAAAAATAATTTAGATGCTATTGTCTGTCTGCCATTTAGAAAACATAGCTGCTTCAGTGAGCCCCTGCTGAAAGGGGAAAAAGAGGGTTTATTGAAATGCCTCCAAAAAGGCACCGAAATTTCATTCTTTTCCTTGTCGGCTGAAACCCATCCTGTTGTTGCCTTTAGAGTTTTTGTTTTAGTTTTCTAATTGTACCATTGTATTCAGGGTCTTTTCACTCCCCTATTTTACAAACAGCGTGTGTGGTATTAAGAGCTGAAGGCAGAGATGAGAGAACTGTTTTGAACTGACTAATTTGCAGGCAAGAAATAAAGCTCTTGTAAGGTGGTCCCAGGGGTATCTTTGCCATGAACACTATTTGAAATGACATGTAATCTGGTACATTTCAAAGGCAAAACATTTCCTATTCTAAAGTATCTTCATGAGCCAGGGTTGGTTTACCTGTTTCCAGAGAATAATAAACTCCACTGGGGACACGGAAACTCCTTCCCTGCCCTCTCAGAATCCCTGTTCTTTTTCAAAGGGGCAATTGCAGCCAACAGTTTATTTCTGTCCTATCTTTTGCTGCTCTGATGGCTTATAATTCAGCACTCACTACTAATACATAGCTGAATGCACTTCTGGATTAAACACCAAGTAACAGAACACAGCACATCCCTGTACAACACAGTAACTAATGGTGTGGAGCTGCCTTTTTGCCTTTTACAGGAGGGGAAAATTTAGATGCAGTTCTTACAGACTTCTAAGATTTTAATCATTTCACCATGTATCTTTGATCTGGCAATTTCTTCATAGAAACTATTCCTCTTTTAAAGAAATCTGAGCTCAACTAGCCTTGGAATATTGTATTAATACTCTTTCCTAGCACACTTGAGTGTTTCGAGCCTTGTTGCCATCCTAAAAGACTTACACACAAAAGCACACATTTAATTTGTGGAGGCAGAAGAGCCTTACATTTAGAATTTTGTCTGTATTTTAGTGAAGGCTTAGCTGGTCTTGCAAGCTGACACATCTGTGAACAAACTCATGTACTAGAAGAAATGTTTCTCTATGTGTACGATATCCAGTCTGCATTGCATGGTTTTGAAAGATTTAAAAATGTTTTAAACCAGGAATTTGGCCACAAATTAAATCCAAACTTTCTGTGAAAATAAACGCTGATAAATATTATGGATATTTCCTATTAATTGCAGAGCCATTGTGTACTAAAGCTTTTACTTACAGAAACTGACGCCTTGTGAACTCTCTGGATTTCACCAGTTACTTTGATTTTCTCTAACTGTATGATGGACAGAAATCAGGTTGCAGTGTGTCTATAATAATGAACCTATACACTGGGGCTTTTTTTTAAATCAAAACCTTTCCTTGATTTTCAAAATCCATATGCTTGTGCCCAAATGTACTGGCTCTACCTTTCAAGTGTCGACAATGATGAATAAATTTTGTTACCTGAACAGAGACACTGAAGGCTCCTGGAAAGGAGAAGCAGAAGCTGGTTTAGAATGTCCAGAAAAATGAAATTTCTAAGAGAATGAAAAGCAAAAAAGTTCTTTCCTGAACCTGATAACTATGTGAGACAGTAAATCAGTCAGGATGACTTACACTGTCAGTTTGCATTACTAGCCTCAGCCCTCTGAAGGACAGATTGCACTGTGAGTGACCCTAACGTGTGTTGTACAGAAGTCATGATAAAATATTATGCCCCATAGAGGGGTCTTACACCTTACTGTTGTTTTTCACAAGGCTCTGTCAAGTCTAATTCTTAATTAATGGGAACTTTGCCCAAATGTAACTTGTAACAAAATGAGCCCAGTGTTCACAAAAACTTCTGAAGAAGGTAGTGCTGTTCCCCAGGAGCATTCATATCCTGGACTGGCCCCCTTGTCAATTCTGAGCCATTAGATTAGTCTGGACTAGACCCTATCACCAGCAATCATAAGAAAACATGACATTTACCATGAAGTAAAAGAAGTTTCTACCAGAGGAGCTAGCAAATACCACTGATCTTAGATATTCAACCAGAGAAATAAATGAGGCCTTTCCATTACTGCCAAGTGCTGTCACATTAATGCGGAGACAGCGTTACATCTGGAACACATACTATCTGATGAAAGTTACAGTGCTTGACTCAGGCAGCTGCCTGGGTGAATGCGGGCTGCTTTCTGAAATGAGAGGTAGCTGTCTGCTCTTCTGCATTTTACTAGCATAAGTCATCATCTTTGCGTAAGTATACTTGAGGAAGAGCTTTGACCTTACTGCCTAGATACGCTGAAAACTTGCTAACTCTCTTTTGACCAAACCACCTGCTAATGCCAAGGTAAGGACTTCTGTGTAGCTCCTTGTATTGCCTGTGGGTAATGTTAACTTTAGTGAGACACTAATTTCATTTCTTATTTTTTTCTTTAGATACATTTCTAACATATTCACTTCTATGTGTATTGAAATATTTATATAGGCAATAGGTAGGGAACCCATCAGCAGGAATCAATTGTTCCACTTCTGGGTTGCTTTTCAGCCACAGCAGTATTTTGCTAATACAGAATACCCAGCCAGAAAGCAATACAATAGCCCAGCTCAGCTGATTTATTGAAACTGTATTTTTGAGGGCTGTTTTTTTTACTTTGATGACTCATGAGATATGGTGCCATTTAAACACTGTGTACACAACACATGCTTGTTTGAGCACTCCATTATTTGGCTCGAAGTAGTACAGTATATTGTTCTGTTTAGGGAGCAAGTCTGAATTTACCATTGACTCACGAGAACTTCACAATGTATCGCTGGGTCAAGGACAGGAAGCAGCAGCAGAAATAGCTATGGAAAAAGCATCAAAAGAAGGCCACTGGGTTATACTTCAAGTAAGTCAAAGCTCTTCATTACATCAGTGCTGCACCACAGTGTTAAAAACTGAAGCTTTTCAAAATAACATGTGCCTAGATGAAAGAGTGCTAAATTGTGATTTAAAACTTCCTTTGTCTTCGCCACAAGGGAAGCATGTAACTTCATCTGTATATGCAAGTATCACTGAGTATCACATAAAATAAGAACCACAACTATCTTGTGTGTAGGGAGTCAACTAACGCATTTCCCCAAGAGCACGATATCTGATTTACTAATTTATTATCCATTAAAAAAAATCCTTTGGTAAACAAATGTGTGGCAAAAAGAATTGTTACGCTGTATAATCAGATGAATAGATACAAACAGGGAAGATTGCTGTCATTATGCAGTACATTGTGCTAAACAGATGCACACGATTTTTCTCAAATATTGTGCAATATCAAACTGCTTCCTTATGTCTGAGTTTTTCTTGTATCAATACAATGTTTCATATCTCAAATCAATAGCTCCCTGGGAGGCCTATTTTTCCCACATTTCTCCCCCCTCACTCCCCACCTCTGAATATTTATTTGGTAGCAAAATGCCTTGACACGGTAGAGAAATCACTGAGGAAGGCCAGGGAAGGGAGTCAGCAGGGAGATCGGCTTTGAGTGTGGGGAACCTGCCCCTTCTCCTGAAGAACCTTTCATTCCAGAAGGGGATTTGGGAAACCTCCTATTTAAATAATTGAAAAGCCACTACCTGAGCTGCTGCCTGATCACCACGCTGCACTGGTGGATAAATCTGACCAGGCAAGTAAAACACCACAGAAATAAAACTTTAAAAATGTGACTATCAAACATCTCATCTTAAAGCCACTCGGAATGGTGAAGTCACTAAAAGCCTGTACAGGATATGAAATAATAATGCACAATGCATTTCAATTCTTAAAGATTTGTTCACATACCCCAGAGTGAAATAATTGCACATCTATTACAAAAATATCAAACAAGAAATTGTTTCTTTTTGTTTTAAAGCATTGCATGCAGCTTCTGGTTAAAGCTGCATTTCTTGAGGAATGCAGCTTTATTTCTTGAGGACTGTATTTCTTGAGGAAAACAGGGAATTTGCAGTCACGACAGGTAATTACTGTGGTACAGAGTAAGAATTTATGTTGGTTTAGTCTGGCTTAGTTTGATTTTTCTTGAAACGCGAGACCACGCTTTTTTGTGCCTCTGGAATATCTTTTACATATTCTAAGTATGTCATGCACTGGAATTAGATCTTCAGCTGAGGTAAATCAGTGAGGTTCACTATGCCAAATTATATTGCTAAGGATCTAGTCCAAAATGCTTGGATCGTACGTAAGAGGAAGGAGTGCTCTGGCTGCTAGGCTGGCCAGAAAATTTTCCTGTGTCCTTTTTAATCTTTAAGGCTTTTAATAAAAACAATTTTTATTACTGACTCTCAAAAGATACATAGGTGTACATAGGTAGTAATTATAAACTGTGATCAAAGATATGCTCAAAGAAACCAAGTATTTCTTTGCCATACGTGTCTGTACTGAGGAAGCGCATCAACCTGAATGTGAAGAAACTCGCCAATTACAAAAAACACATCGTTTTCCGCCTGTCATTTAACCGTGTGTTTAAAGCACCTCTGCAAAACTCACAAAGGCTTTTCTTCCTTTCGTCTGTATACAACAATCTCTCCCAGCACTGACGAAGGTTAACTCGCCGCCGCGGGCACGGAGGAAGGAATGTCACCCCAAGTGCTCACAAACGCACAAAGGAAGCGGCCGGCGGCAGGCACGGCCAGCTCACGTTTGTCACCAACTTCTGCTGCTGGCGGCTCGCTCCGCGGGTCCGGGCCCGACCGGCCGCAGAACCCACGGGGCCGAGGCCAGCAGCTCCTCCTCGCCGCGGGCTCTGCGCTGCCCTGCCGCTGCTCGGCGCCACTGCTGCGGAGAGAGCCGAGATGGGCCGCACCTGAGCCACGGTCAGCGCCCGCGCCACGGTCCGCGCCCCTCGGGTCGGCGGCCAGGCTGTGCCACGAAGGTGGCAGCTTCTTCGCTCCCCGCGCTCCGGTGCGAACCCGAGGTACCTGCAGGGCTCCCGGGTAGCCCTCGTCCCAGTGCCGGTCCCCGTGGGGCGGCAGCGGGCCGCTCCGTAACACACCGCGGTGGGGGGCCGGAGAGGTGGATGCAGGCCGAGCAAAGGCGGCAGCGCGTTCCCGGAGCCAGAGCGCCCCCTGCCGGCAGCCGGCCCGCCGCCGCCCAGGCGCGGTCACTGCCAGTGGCGGGCGAGAGGAGCGGGGCCCGGGTCGGCCCCGGCAGCGCGTCCCGCCGGGCCGCGGCAGCACCGCTGGACGGGACTCGGCCGCCGCTACCGGCGGAGCGCTCGGGACCGCGGAGAGGGAAGCAGGCCCCGGGGAGAGGAACGTGCCCATGTGCCCTTCGCGTTTGACCCTGTCCAGGGCTGCGGGTCTGGGACGCCGGCCGACCTCCTGGGGAGGATTTCTGCTCACTACGTTTGTGTTAACGCTGGAGATAGGGCGTACGAGATCCCCACGCTGGGTCCCCCACCCCAGATCCGCCCGTGTAGGCTCCAACGCAAGCCCCGTCATTACCAGCACACGAGACACCCAGTGTTGTTGGGGCAATGTCAGCAAAATCGAGGCGCGTACTGCACTTGCTCCCACAGGTTCCATGCAGGGGACAAGAGTGTGGCAGGAGCAGAAACCGGTCCTGAAGAAGTGACAGACCTGCAGGCCTGGAGATGACTCGGCTGACAGCAGCCACCTATGTCTGCCCTCTGAGCTGGGGCTTTGTGCCTGGGGAACATAAATACAGGCATTAACTGGCATATCTTCTTACCCATTTATATGGCTGCAAGTACATGACTTCTTTTGAGGAGCTGCATCTCAAATAGATTTAGCTGTTTAATAAATCAGCCCCTGATCCCCTGCAGTGGTGACCTCTGATCCCTTCTCAAAGCAAAGATTTCCTGTAATAGTGTGCCATACTTGCAGCAATACTTACCAAGTGTCTGAGGTGATAAAACTATTTTGGTAAGAGGGGAACAAACAAGCCCTCTCCCTTCCAACCCTGTGGGGCAGCTGGTGATTATCACTACCTGTGGCCGTGGCCATGCCTGGACCCTCACCGAACTCCACTTTGTTGGATGGAGATGGGAGGCAGGTACCCAACAGCACCTATGTCCCCACTTCCCAGCCTATGCCGAGCGCAGCCAAGAGGGGTAGTTCATAGCTGACATCCTCACCTGAAAATACATTTGCCACCTCACCTCTTCCTCCTCTGCTCCCCCAGCCCTGAGGAAGGCAGGTGTAGAAAGCTCCCAACGCCACATGCAAGAGCTTTGTACCCACCCGGTCCCTGGGAATGAGGCAGAGCAACGAGGGAGGCAGGAGGGAACAGGCCCTGTACGTACATGGCAGCAAGCTGTGGGCCCCCTTCTTTCTTCTCTGGCAGCGGTGCCCCAGGCAACAGCAGCTCACCTGCCGGCGAGCCCTGCGCCATCCCGCGGCCGTGGCTCTCCGTCCCCAGATGCCAGGAGCCTCCCGCTGCGACGAGGAAGGAGAAGCAACTGAGGAGGGAAGAGGAACAAAAGGACGAGATCAGAACAGGGAATAAAAGAAGGAAATGTAGTGAATAGTAAAAACAAAGGGAGGAATTTTCCCGGGGTGCGTGTGGGGGGAATGCCGCTTATAAAAGCTTTTTTTTTTCTCTACGATTTCTGCAGAAATCCTGACAATGCACATGCTCGTTTTCCCTTTCTCATCCCACACAAACCTGTTGTTATTTTACTTTCATTATTTCACTTTGTTGCATCAGAAATGCTGAATCATAAAAAAGGGGGTAGTCAAAATGGCATTCATCTTCCGGGAATGAGCCACACATTGTTTTAAAGATCCCTGCACTACTGCTGTTATCATCATCATCATCATCATCATGCATCTTGGCAGGTTGAAAGGTGTCGCAGAACAGGAAGGATTCAGCAGCAATTTAACATCCCACAGCAGTGCTTTAAAAGCATCAAATAACATTTTGAGTTTTAAGTCAGTACCAGTGTAAATAAATGGATGCATTCCCACATGTCTGTTGTTTTTAAACTTGTGATGATACTAAAATATTTGCCTAACAGCTTTGAGTTGCAACAGAATTTCAGCCCATGTATACACATGCGTGTGATATTGAATTAAACCATTTGTCATTCTTCTCCATAAATGACACAATTTGGCTCTCAGCAAACCATCTGAAATAGAAATTATGATGATGACACCACCGCTCCGTTTTATTTTATGGTAGTGTATTGATTGTCAAATAGACAATACATGTATTTTTGTAATGGCCTAGAAGAAGATATTCTGCCTTTTTATTTTACAGTCCTCATGCTATTACTCACTTTCATTTCAATAAAGGATACCATTTTTCAGAGATGCTACCATAAACTGCTTCATTTAATAAGTTGCGACACAGAATAATAATGTTGCACCAGAGAGCAGCACTCTGTAATTTGGGAGAAATAACATTTTTCTTTTAAAATATTTCTGTCTCTTTATTTTGAAATCGAAATTATCTCTCTGCTGGTTTCTAAGTGAAGAAGAACCTGACAGAATTATTATTACCCTTGCAAGCCTCAGAATTTGGGTGTGACGTGAAGAAGCTAATTAGAAAGGGGAACAAATTAGATTAATTTCCACGGATATCAAAGTGTTACAAAAGTCTTGTTCTCAACAATGACTCCATAACAGAACAATTTCAGTTATGCCTAAGCAGGTTCCTTATTCTGCCTAGCAAGGACTGACACCAGTGCCTGGTGACAGGGTTTTTATTATGCCTTTGACAGTTTGATAGGAAGTCGGTGTCCGCTCGTGGGTTTGCAGTCGCTTCAAACCTGGATTATAAAGGTTACCACAAACCCATGGATGAGATGCCACCTCCCGAAAGCCCCACCCGCTACATCCCACACCCCAACGTGGAGATTGCTTTTGTAATAGCTGCAGACAACGCGTTCCATGTGCTATTAGAGCTGCAATTCAGATACTCGGTCACTGGGGAAGGAGTCCCTCAAGCTGTGGAAGACAAGGTCAGTCAAAACATAGAGCAGGCTGCAAATTTGACACAAGATGGTGTGATGTCTCTGGTTTTATGGGCTTTTTACTCCTGCGACCACCAATTTAAATAGAATTAGATATTTTGATGCCTATTTTGTACAGGGATTCAACCTGAAATTTGTAATGAAGGATCTCTAGAATACGTGAGACACAAATATATGCATTATTTTGCACCACACAGAAAAAAGATCTTGCTGAAGTGTTACAATATATTAATAGGGTTTGGGCATTTAGGGTTCTTTGTCAGGTTGCAAAATGCCATTATTTGCAAACTACGAGGCAGAATTTGCTTTTCTTCCTAACAGCACGGACCTGCACAGGTCTTCCACTCCTTCTCCATTTCACAGGAGAAATCCTCCATATCCTTCATACTCCAACACAGAGGCAGTGAAACTGCTTTAATTTCATCAAGTTAGAATACACAAGGTTTATAAATTCCTTTACAGTGTCATACCAGGCACTAGCCCTGTGACAATGTGGTATTTCTTGAAGGTGAATGCACAGCTAGGTGCCATACAGAAAAAAAATCTTTCAAGCTAAAGATCATTTTTTTATCCAAACACCAGAAGAATGCTTCTTGCATAAATAGATTTGTTTTCCAGAATATAAGAGACTGGATCTGTTGTTATGTAAGGTAAAGTGTTCCCTTCAAGAACTTAATTCAGGTCTGAAGATACGTGTCCTTTGCTTTACTAATCTCAGGGGATGCATGGGTTTAAACACAGCACCAGTGTAAATGCCAGTAATAGGCAGTTGTGAGTGATACCTGGGGGGCTTTTTTTCTGATTTCATTGATTAAAAGATTGTGCTCTCATGAGCTGCCTGTTCCAAACATGTAACTCATCTCCCTATACCAAATGATTCGTTTTAATTTGTGGGAATAAAAATGATCACAAAACTGCTCAGGAGATGAAAATCCTCTCTCTCTCACTCTCTCTACTAAGAAGCAAAATGCATGGCTTCTGATCATGGTCTGACTCCCATTTCAGTGCAGATCCAGAGGTCAGAGAGGGACACTCTTCTTTTTTTGCCATTGCAGAAATTTGGCTCCTCTGTTATAGCTGCTAACAGATCTGGTTGCTAGTTATGGTGTGCGTTCAGTGTGTTTTAGGCAATCCATAGGAGAGAAGGGAGGCCATCGTTTGATACCTCTGAGACCCTCTGATGCTGAAAACAAACTCTACTTCTCATGGATCCCCGCTGGATAAGGCACATGGTTCAGACCGTGTTAAATGATCAACATGTTCAAAGACATCGGTGTGAGGTATTTAACCATCATTAGGAGACGGCCATTAACTGTGAGTAAAGGTGCAGTGACAGTAACACCCAAGTCCTGATCTCACTGCGTGTCCAGTAAGTGCAGTGAAGCTAGGTAAAAAGGACCTATCTGATCGCACATCTTTGGCCTTTTTTTGGCAATAATATGCCTCTCAATGCTGACAAAGTGCTGAATAGCAACATGTAATGTTCTTGACCATGCAGGGCCAGATTTTCATAATATCTAGCAATCTCAAACAACACCATACCTGCTGCACTAACATTTAATATATGCTCAAATCACAGAATTGGGCAACCAAGTAGCTTCTTATGCATTGCCAGCAATTTACACAGGCAATTGTGGCCTAGGCGTGCACAGCTGTAGTTAATGCATACATTCCAAGAGTAGGCACTGAAAATCTAATTCACAGGGCTAGTTTCTTAAAGGGACCTCCTTTTTCACCACCTAGAATTACCTTCCTTTCGATCTTTAATTCAGAGTAACAAAACATGGGCACTCAAATAGCCATTAGCGCAAGCAAGCCGGCAGAATGGTAGCTTGATTGCATGTACAATTTTCTGTAGGATATCTGAAAGAAGTTAGTAATTTGGCCCTTTATCATTTTCTCCCCGCACATATGCGTAGGTGGATGCTTCTGTGCGTATGTACGTATGAATCGCTGTATCATGTAATTACTTAATGCAATTAGAGGGAATTTAAAAAGTACCAAAAACCCAAAACCTGCACTCTTGTTTTTCTGACCATTTCCCCTTTTTAAAAAATAAATGACTCACCCCCATTGCAAGAGCCAAGCTATTCTTTACACTTGAGGATTTAGCTACCTTATGTGTTTTTACTGGGGAAAAAAAAGCCCTCTATCATTTATCATGTCATCTTATCACAGTCTCTTTGTGAGACGCAAATAGCACACTAATGTTTTCTTTTGTTAGGGTGAGTTGGCAATCTCCTCAGAGATGGAGCAACTACAGACAGCTCTTTTTTTTGATAATCTTCCTGACACTTGGATGAGACTGGCTTATCCATCAACATACAGTTGCTCTGTGGTAAGTCGCATGCCAACAGTCAGTCAGGATGGATGGCACTTCTTGTCCATCATAAACAATAAAGTAGAAACTAAAGAATTTTTCCTGGCAAATATCTTTCCTTCTTGTGTAACTCAGAATGGCTTTTTATCATGAATTGATATTACTACTGTTATGAAAAGCAGGAAAAGCCTTGCATTTACCTTGCCAATTACTGCAGACTTTGAAAGATTTCTCTCAAATTTGCATTCCCACTTCTTCCTTGCTTGCTTGCTTTTTTCTCCCTCTGTGTGTGCTGATCAGATAGGTTTGGCAAGTGTGGTAGCACGTAGTATCTCCTACTCCGAAGACTAAGCTTGGTTTCCTTGTGTGTTTGGGGACCAGAACTTGTCACAATGGAAGGGAGCTGCTCTGAGCTCAAGGGTGAAATGGTCCCAAGGGGCACCAATTCGTAAAGCAGCTTGCATTAAGAACTCAGAACTTTTTGTTTCAGAGCAAGTAGTGGGGCCCTCATGTTTCTGTTCACCTTAACTGAACTCATTCTAAGATGTGACCATATACCTACTCTCCATGGCTGTCTTGTCATACCAAAAGTGAAACCAAGAACAAAAAGTGAAAACCCACCCACTGCCAGCAAATTATTTATTTGCTGACAGGCATTCAGCTCTCCTCAGGAGCCTCCTGAGTAAGGCAAAGTTGATGGACTGGAGAGCTGACCAAAGGACAGGGAAGCTCTGCCAAGCACAAAGACAGGTAGCGCTAGAAGGCAAAGCAAGCCCACGTTCTGAAATAAGTTCAGACTTCTGAGAGATCAAGAGAGGAAAAAGAAATCTTGTTCAGCAGAAGAGACATTGAGAGAAGCACCAGAGGTAGATTGTGGTGAAGATCAATCAGAGCCTTAAGGAATTAAATGCTCTTTTAGCTTCCCTTGATGGAAAACTAAAGTACCATAGAGATAACTGTGGTGTCTGTGATAAATATATGTCCTGAAGACCAAAAGCGTTGCCTAGGGGATATAATGCTAAATTACAAGCTGTTTTCCTGAGGAACAACACAGCTGCTTTCTTTAAAAAAACATATGGAGGAGTCAAGCTGGACCTTATATTCACGTTTGGAGAAAAGAGGGTAAAAGTACCCACTGATTATATAAAAGATGCCTTGCAGAACT